ATATCTACAACTTACGTCTACGTGTGATGGAGTCGTGGGTCCTGGTAAAAGATTTTGGTAACGGATACATACGGCTTTTAGTGATCGGTTCTATATTCTATTATTGATAAATCTATTATTGATATATTATTAGTTTATAAGATACTAGCTGCTGCCCGCGACTATATCTGCGTAGAATAGGCGGAAGGGGTAACGTTCAGACAGAAAGACAAATAACATTTATATGTATATAAAATATGTAATTAATATGTATATAAATTTTATAGCATATGTCTTATTCAGATGTATAAGCTATATTGTTGTAAAGTTTCATTAAAATCCATTCAGTAATATTTGCGTGAAAGAGTAACAAACATCCATCCAAACATACAAACTTTCGCGTTTATAATATTAGTCAGGACTAGGAAGAATTATGCCACTAGGCATAATGTCTTAGCAAATCAAGTAGCTCAACTTTTGTCGAAAGGGTTTTTTAAAAATTGATAACGAATGAAAATCTTTTCGTACTTTTTCTACATGTTTTAATGTTCAATCTTAAGTGCAGAGATTAACACTATAAAAAACTTTAAAAATTTAACGAATGAAAATTTTGTTTATTTGGTTAATATTAGTTAGGTTAATAATAGTAAGTAGTTTCAGGATCGTGTATAAAACATCACAAATAAAGCAAAAACTGTGATAACATTTACGTACGACCAGTTTTTACGTGTCTTCCCTACCCAATACCGGCCATCAAAAATGATTTAAGGATATTACACTTCAAATAATTTTGGTTTGAATTTTGTCTGCCTGACGTTTCAAATACCGCTATCGTAAAAAATATTGGAAGTCATGATAACAATGTTCATCAATACCAATTACCAAATACTATGTTAAGGCCTTGTTTTTTTTTTTAATGTGAAAAGTTGCCAAGCGATCAGACGGCTCACCTAATGTTAAGTGAATACCGCCGCCCATGGACATCTGCTATACCTGAGGGTTCCAGATGCTTTGACAACCTTTTAAAAATTGGCCTTCGGCCACCTCACTCGCCAGACGAAACGCGAAAGTATTATACTTCCACTTTACGCCGGTCTTCTTTGAAGTCGTGGTACTTACCCGGACGAGACTGCCCATTCGTACAACAGCCGAGGCTGCCGCGTGGCCCTACCACCGTAGAAGTAACAATGTAGAAGCTTCCGCTGTTTCACGAATGGGCAGGCTTTCGAGGAAGTACCACGGCCTCATATAAGAGCGGTGTAATGTAGAAGTATCATACTTTCGCGTTTCATCTAGTAAGTTAGGTAGCTGAGGCACGATTATTTATTGCTTGTCAACGCATCTGCAACCCATCAGTTGTAACTGTCTACAGGCGGCGGTAATTACATAAAATCATGTGAACCGTCTGTTCGATTGACAACATTTTACATAAAAACAAAGACATCTTAAAAAACTTTGGTACTGTAAACGTACGAAGTAATAAATTCATCCAGCTCCACCACACTTTTGGTAATTGCTTTTTTTATCTTTGAACGTAGTAAGTATATCAAACGAGTGTTGGATGGTTCACAATTTTAAATGATACTTTCATATATACTAACTGGAGTGTATATTATTATGGTAAACTTGGAAGTATTGGAAAAGGGGTGTAGTGTGTTCGTGTTTCCGTTGCGTGTTAACATTTAAAACACAAAATGAACAGCTGGCAGCATTCCCACGTTCTAATCCATACCTTTTAGATCTTATAATATTACCATTACTTATATACGAAGATGATTGGTAAAGCCACACATCACAAATAGAATTCTGGCCGTTTCAAAGTAATTATTTCATATCCAATATAATGTAATACAGTAGTCAGCTCAACTATGCTTAGAATGAGTTAGATCACATAATTGTAAATTAACTCTTAAATATCCGTAGAAAAAATTAATATCGTTCACAAACAATTCATCAGAAAGTTCATCGGCGATGGAATCAGCTACCGAGTAAACCGAGTCACTTTACTTCCCACACTTTATTAAAACTATCCACTTTGCGATTGAACATTAAACAAAATTTGAATAGCGTAAAATTGGATCGAGGGATTCCCAACTAGAAGCCAAATTCGAATCGGGAGCTAGTTTACATCAGATTTCAATTTAAATTCTAGCTGAATGTAACTGCCGCAGTTATCCGACTTGTTAAACGAAGTTGGCCTGAATGAATTGGTCCGCCGTGCATCTTTGTGTTTGAACAGGGATGTCGTTATGCGAACACCAGATGCAGTGCCATATTGATTGTACACAACGAAACACACGTACATTAGGTGTGGTTTTAATGAAGCTCCACTTTGCACGCCCTATATTTCCGGATACCATTCTATGTGTTTAATCGCATATGTTTGTAGGAGGATCATCGATGTAAAAAAAAAACATAACTGACAACCATCTGGATGACTTAAATTTTCTTTTGGCACAAAGATACAATAGTAGCTTCGAGATTAGGAAAGAAAATTTAATTTAAATTAAATTAATATTTCAATAAAAAAGTTACTTTCTTTTATGTAATAACTTTCACCCCACGAATATGCGATTCCTTTTGGAAATGTTCTCCAAAGAATTGTAAAATTTTAATAAACTTCAGTCTGTAAGATAAGAAAGATATAATCATCAAAAACTTGAGATTAGTTTTAGATATCAATAACTTTGTATATAACGTTTATTTCTAATGTTTTATTTTTTGCCCTTTGGATGACTTATATTGTTCCAAGAACTTTAAGTTTTATTAACCATCAGCTTTACTCGCGTATGGGATTACAAGAAATCATCATGCGAACTTATAAACTTTTGCAACAAAATGTATTAAAGCTACAAATAAATTGTTTTATATTACATAATAACGAACATTACAAATCAAAAACACTGATTAAGAAATTACAGGACTTATTGCATAAAAAAGTGCACATAACGAATGTAACTAATAATTTTGAAAAATATTAATAGGTATATCATAGCTTAAGATGCATTGCGCATAAATTTTATACGCAAAACTATTGCGGATTTACTTAGTGTAAAATTTCTATTGGTAATTGACGATTGGTAGTAGATTTGATGACTCCATGGCGCAGTTGCCAAAGTATTGGCTTCGGCGTCATGAGTTCTTTGAGTTATTTGTGTGGCCCACAGATAGATGTTTCGCATCTGGGTGACTGTCCGCGTGAATTTATGTTTGTTAAACGTCAAAAAACGTCCTTACAACACAGAATAATGTTATCCTAAAGTTCAATGTGTTTAAAATAAAATTTTAAAAAATAATAAATAAAATAATATTTTTTTTTTCTCAAAATCTGGCCTTTTAGTCCATCTTTTAAATATTGATTTTAGTTTTTCTCAGTGAGATTTTTTCGTTTCTAATGAGCTTTTTAAACCGACCAGTTCGCTCAATCATCTTATTGAGCGAACGTATCTACTTTTAAAAATGTGTCTTAATAATTAGTAAGAGGTGAAGTATCCGTCACAAAAGAAACGCATTATGTTACAACTTTGTTAAAATTGAGGATTAAAAACTTATTGCCGGCGTTCCACAATAGCCCACAATATCCGGCAAAAGTTTGCATCCGTTATTCATGAATAGCTCGCCTCGTGAATTGTTTACTCTCATTGCCAACTTTTCATGGTAATAAAATTCGTTTTTTGAAATTTCGTTTTTTTATACTTTAAACTAGCATTCTGTTTATGTGTGACATCATCGATATAATGCAGCTAAATAACTTTGTAACTACGTTTTCCTTATTGATACTTTTTTGTCAAAAACCTACTGGAAAATATTCAAAATGCTCTAGTATATTTAAATATGTATATCTTTGATACGTGACTGTGTAACTTTTGATCTACTCGGGATGGATATTTAAAACATGAGACACAAACGTGCGCCGAATTATTTTGTTCCTTCCGAAGTTATTTCTGGAAACCATCGCTTTAATTAATGTTATGTAGGAGATAAATATATAGTGGGCGATCTGACTAGTCAGATCGCTCTATTTATATATCGTAACAACAGTCTCTATGTAATAACAGTTCGTTAATCATATTAACACATTATGCCATAACTCTGAGAACGTATTGTCCGGAAAGTGATTTGTGTATGTGCGATAAAATTAAATGTTTGTTGTTTTAATGATCTAGAGGAAATATCGAGAGATGGACTTATTGTTTTGTTTTATACATTTTAGTGTAGTTTCGATAACTATACGTTGTTCAATAATTACATCATTGTTTTACCTTTTTTGTTGTCTTAATAAAATAATCAAAACTAACAAAAAGGGATGGTGCCTAATTGAGGTAATTAAGTAATCTAAGTAGTATTATCTAAGTAAATATTAGCCAAAAAAGAACGAAAAAATATTAAACGAAAAAATTAAATTAAAATACCTTTTTGACAATCAAAGATGCCTAGTGAAAAAAAAAAAACAAATCGTGGAAATATAACCAAGAATACCATCAAACCACTTGATTATTTTTGGACATTAGAATAATAGACAGATTTATAATAAATAATCTGACACTAAGACAAATTAACTATGACGATCGGACAAAAAACTGCCTGGTTCCTCTTGTAACCATGGCTGGTCGTATGTGTTCGAAACGTTTTAAACTTAAAACTAACGCGAAAGAACCCTTATGCACAAAAATCAGCTCCAAACTTGTATAATTAGCAAGTACATTATTATTTTTTATTGAAAAAACAAAACCGAATTCAAACATCTCGCTCACTATACATTTTCTATTGATTTTGGTGAGTTCCTTGATGTAACTACGTGCTCCAAGGTCCAATATCAATGGTATCAATAAGGGATTACATGGGAGCTAAGCCGAACAGAATTATTAAAATCCTTTCATACATGAACGAGTTCCTGGCTAATTAAGAAACTCAATTAGGTATTTTTTTTTTCTAATAGAATTATCCAACATTACATCGTTTGACCGTTTGCCGAAAAAATTACATTTGCCGATGTCTGTAACACTACAACCTTGTTTTAGGCTGTTCCTGCATACGCTTCACGTCGACATTCGGCAAAGAGCGCGGAACTTTCAGCAGCCCGGATTATCCACGCCCGTACCCTGCCCATATCGGCTGCCTCCTCTACACTTTCATCGCCGGCCCACATCAGATCGTAGAGGTCGTTTTCACTGACTTCGACATCCACAAGGAACACCTTGAGTGAGTACCAGTTTATTAAAATTATTTATTTAGACTGTGGTGCTGTTCCTAAGCAATTGTCTCCGCCGGGATCGTGGATTCAGTTATCGCACACGGAAATCGATATGGATCTGGTTTTTATTCTCAATAGCAGGTTAAAGTTGTTGTCGGGTGGGTTCACACAGATAAGGGCAGGAGATGAAGATGATTTATTCATTTTATTTATACAGCAAACAAGCATTTCTTATAATGTAACAAATGAAATAAAATTTAAAATCACAAATAGTGCCAAATATTGCAATAAAAACCGACTAAACTATGTAAACTATAAAAACTTCTACAGCTGTTCAATATGCTGTTATTTTTTGTGTGTTCAGTACGGTAAAAAAAATCGTGGGGCACGATCTCTCGCTACCCGTCGTGGTCCGCGCTATGGTGGAAAGTGAGAGGTAGGGGGGTGCCATCCTTTCATTCTGCGAGGACATAATGAAGGAGGACATATGGAAGGAGGCCGCGGAGTGAGAAAGGGTGGCATCTGCCACCCTGGAAATCCGCCACCGGAGACCAGGGCGCAGGAGGCTGGCCTACGCGCGCAACCTTCCCCCCTGATAACAAGCCCCAGGGCGGCAGATGTGGGACTAACTGCTGCCCCGCGGTGGGCTTGAAAGGGGTGCCGTGTTCATTGCACCGACACGGCACCATTTGGCTGGTCCGGGTGTCTAAACACCCGGGGAGAGGCGACGGGGTTCGTGGAAGATTGCGTTTTCGTGTTCCCGTGTCCCCGCCAAAGCGACAGTGCAGGTGTAACGTTGGTTTTTAGTGGGTACCCCATAACTACCACATACCCATAATACAGGGCGGCGGGGGATCCATAAAGGATTTTTATCACGTAAAAAAAAGGCTATATACTGAAAACTTTCACATATATATTCAATTCACGCTATCAAGCTATAAAATTTATTTCTGCTATACAGATATAGCAGATTTACCATGTACTATGTAGGTAAATGCAGGACCACCCCATAGCTTGCTGACAATTTTTATGTGGAATAAGTAAAATATTTCAGTTTCCGTAATACATTAAAATTTCGGATTAAATATTTTACGAATGCGGTGGGTGAAGCGCTAAGATGTAAAATTTTATCTTTATTGCCTGAAGCTGAGAAGTTTAATTCCCGACAATTGCTTATCACTGTAGAAAGTTTCCTATTCAGTAGAAGAGTCTGCGGACGGTTCATTTCTGAGAGACTTAAATTAGTTGGTTCAAATTGTAATTTCAATCTCTGTCATTATTCGTTTAACATTAATTTCAATTTGAAATAAATTCCACCAGAATATAATGTCTAATTATGACTTTATTTAAAATTGTATTGGCACCTTTCGTAAGACAGTGATGGCTTGGTCAACAATACATTGGGTGCTTTTATGAGGAAATGTTTTAAGTGAGAAGAAGGTTGTAGTGCGATTACCCCCACTCATAAAAGTAAAGTAAGACTATGTCCCACTGCAGGGCAAAGGCCTCCTCGTACAAAGAGTACTAGGGCATGGACTAAGCCACGCGACCCCACTGTAGATGGGCAGGCTTCACATAACTTCGAAACATTTATATTTATTGGTATTTCGAAAATATGCAGATTTCTTCACGATGCTTTCTTTCACGGCTTAGAACGTGATGCATCAGCACTTAAAATTGACAATTAAATTGAAGCCGGCACTGGGGATCGAACTCAAGTTTATTGAATTAAGAGCGTGCGCCCGGACAATGAGCTATTACGACTACAATACACGTGTTGATGCAGAAACCGCGCCAACCTTTAAAAGTCTGAACTCAGTTCACCATCAAGTCAATGATAAGACGAATCGCAATACATATATATATATATATATATATATATATATATATATATATATATATATATTTCTGCTTTACGCCAGTCATCCGTAACACTGTGAAACTTCCCCGGAAGAACCTTTCCGTTAATGTATCAGCAGAAACTGTTGCATGAATGGATACCACTGTGGTCTTGGAATCTTATGTTCGAAACAGTGATATTCAACATTAAATTTGCAATATTCACTTTGTCACGTACAAAAGCTCTACGTACAAATCGCGATACAATTTCTCTGTAATATGTACTCTGTGTTTACCTCAAGTGGGGAAATCTATTGCCAATGTTGATAGATAAAATGAAAAATGGTTCACACTCTTAAGTAGTTTAAAACTTGTAAAAGAGTTTTATTCACTTTTTATGTTTCAGATAATGAACTTTATCTGTATAATCCTAAAAATAAAATTTCCAAATTACACTTATATACTTACAAACTTTATTAAGTACTTTTTGTTTTTGTAATTTTACAAATTATATATAAATAGAATAGAAATTAAATAACAGATAGATAAAAGAGAAAGAACATTAATAAACAATTAATAGTTATCACTTCTGCAAGTACCTTTTTCGATCAAGATGTGTTTAGAATTATTATATTTCGGGCGTGACAATTTTGATAAAATTCTTTGTGATTTACTTTGTTGACTTCCTTAGTCCGCTTAATTGGCTGCAAAATTGTACGTAGTCAATCATAGTCTTTCCATTTTTATCAATGGTCGGTGCTTCGTCTAGCGCATAATCAGTTTCTTTCTCGGTGAAACGATCGCCCCAGGTCATGAGGTCATGTCGAATTCTGTAAAATTCATTCCATTCAATAAATATTTTGTCATGAAATGTTCTTGTCTGTGATAGGATTAAAAAGCATTTTCCGTTTTGACATTGGAGAGTCTACCAAATATTTGTGTCTCTGACATGATTGTGTTAATAATGGCATATAATAATATAATATCATCATTTTAATGAAATAACTACAAGGCTATATAGAATAGCAGTCATAAAGAAATACTGTTGCTCCAAGCCGTCGTTCTACATATTTATTTGCAGTATAACATATAATTTCCATAACGATACAGAAATTGGTTTAAAATGTATATGAAATTATATTAATCCTGGAATAATTTAATAAAGCAAAAATTTCTAGTGCTTAGTAACATCTAACAGAACTTCGAAGGTCGCAATACCACACAGATTAGATAAGTTAGGCGATTTCAGTAGTTAGTGCTAAGTTGTGGCTTATTACTTACGTGACTACGAAACATTAATTAAGCATGTTATATAAAAGTTGTATCTTAATTGTACAACCTAGGGACATCCTAGGAAATCTAAAATATTTTGAAGTTATTATAGTTTTAAATCCGACATATTGAGATGTTACGTAATTATTTATTTATGTATATTTAATTTTAAAATTATGTTAAGTACCTTTCTTCTAATATGTATCCAGTATTTTCGGAGTCCCAGCGCGACAAAGCTGATTTCAACGTTTCTTCAGAATCAAGTTCAAGAGTTTTGTATCCAAGAAGGTTGACAAACGCATCGAAGTCTAGAGGGTTAGCAGCCTTTGTGTAAAGAAAATTTCTCTCTAAGTTTTTATTGTTAATCAGATGCAAGCTATCAAACTTATCAAGATAGCAATATCATGAGCACAAATCTTTTAGTTTTAGGTTTCTCAAAATTATTCGCATTCAAAATTTAACAAATCGTGTCAGCAATATAGTGTATATGTATGTAACCATAATTTAAAATTATCGCGTTTCAGTGAGGCAATATTGCAAGTGGTTAAAATTGGAGTATTGTAATCATTGCTGTAATTGTTATGGAAATACGCAATAAACGTTGTATTAATAACAAATATTTCTAATGCCATAAATACCTCGGAAAGCATAGTTCGTACAACTTGTTCATCAACGGTCTCTCCAAGGCTGACGAATGTACCACGCAGATCATTTTGATCAATATAACCGTCTCCGTTTAGGTCGAAAAGAAGAAATGCCTGGAATAAAACAGATATCACACAAGAAAACACGTTTCCGGGAGCAATTTTTGATAATTACAAAATTCAAATCCTCACTTCTTTAAGCTCGAATATTTTTGATTCGTCTAATTCGGCCATAACGTTTGCTGGTATACAAAGAGCTTCACGAGCCTTCGATCCTGAACGGGAACGAGGCACGTGAGGAAGAGTCAACTCTGATGCATCTGACAATAATGGTTGGCTGGAACAAAAATTATAATGGTCCAAATGAGTTTTAACATTGATCAAAGGTATTTGTTTTATATATAGTTATTATACTTTATTCTTATGTAGTTATACTGGGTTGTACAGTTTTTCACACCGATTCAAAAGAGGCCCATATGTATACTTACTTTTTTACTTTACTTTTGTATGACTATAGTATGGTAGTCAATTAATGATCATTATTTGTTAAAAACAATAGTCTGTACGTTACATATTATGTCACCTGAACTACAGAAAATTTCGATATTGTGGGTTTTTGCATGCATAACCCTAGTATGTCATCTATCATTGAGAAATAATTTTTTTCTACCTTGAGCAATTTTAAGTTAATGATTTTTCAACAGAAATATATACATTCACTATCACAGACATTACTGATAACTGAGTTCGAGACATTGAATTAAACATTAACAATAATGCCCTGGATAATGCTGCATATAAAAACTGTCTTAGGCATTGTCCATAATTCTTTTGTTAAACGTCGTAATGTCAGCGTCGTGCGTACATTTTTTGAGAATTTGGCACAGACGAATAGTTTTCCTTCATTGAAATCATTCCAGGCTTTATAAATTTAGAGTCTTATTTAGTAGGTACCTGAATTATGTCAGTGCTTACGTGGATACCTAACCATATGTTAAAAAATATGTATTTTTGTAGTTTTAACAGAAATTTAGTGAAAAGGAGATAGTAGGTAGTTATAACTTAATCGCTTTATAAATATTATCAAGTCTTTAACAACGAAGGTCAAGATATTTCCACAGGTTGGGATTAAGATTATAATTTATTGAAGTAGTTTGCTTACTTTCCTGATGGTAAAGATCGGAGAAGGTCTTCCTTGTATTTCTTTATTTCGTCCTTCGTAGATTTCTTTCTCTGCAAACAAATCAAACTGC